AGGATTCTTGCCCGTGGGCCCTAACGAGTTAACGATCCCGTTTATAAATTATTAAAAAAAATAATTTAAAAATAACTTATTTATATTATCATTTTGTATAATTTTATGTATTATTAAAATAATTTATTTATTTATTTATTTAAAATTTATAATATTAAATATATTTATTTATCTAATAATATATAAATATTATATTAAAAAAATAAAAAAATTATCATTATATCAATATCTAATGAAAAAAGTACATATTAATCTTACCTCTTAAAAATTAAAAAAAAAATCATTCCAAAATTATATCATTTCAATAAATTTTTATTAAAAAAATTAAATTACTTTATTTTTAAAATATATATTAAAATAATTTTTATTTTTTAAAAAAATTTTTAAAAATAAAACAGACAAACATTATCGAGCCATAATTTCGTAAGTCACGGACGGATTCTAATGCGTGGGCCCTACGATTAACGATAGTCGACCGAGAATCGAAAGATGAAAAACGCAATATCGACCGAACTTTCACAAGTCACGGAAGGAATTGTTGCGTGTGGGCCCTAACGGTTAAGGACTGTCGACCGACAATCGAAAGATGAAGAATGCAAATATGCGATACCGATCGAACCATCGAACGTCACGAAAGCACAATCTGGCGTGAAAAAGAAAGTGCTAAAGGCAACTCTGCAAGGTTGCTCTTTTATTCCCAAGAAAAAATGTGCGAATAAAAATGCTATTTTTATATATTTTTGTTTAAAAATATTAATTTTATTAATTTTAAATAAAATATTAATTTTTAATTTTTTTTAATTTAAAATATTAATTTTTTATTTTTTATTTAAAAATATTAATTTTCAAAATTTTGATTAAAAATTTATTTATCATTTTAGTATTATTATCTAATTAATTTTTAAATAAAAAATAAAAAATTAATATTTTTAAATAAAAAAATTAAAAATTAACATTTTTATTTTAAAAATTGAAAGTCATTATTTTTATTTAAAAATTAATGAAATTAATATTTCAAAATAAAAAACTATAAATTTAACATTCTTATTTACACTTTTTCTCTTTATCCCCTAACATTTCAAATCAAAATCTTCCTTCCTAATTTTTTTTTTAAAATAAAATGGGGGACGATTAACTGACTTATTTCACATATAATTGGATTGTCTAATTTGTTTAGGGTAAAATTTTACTTTTAAAAATGATGAATGTAATATATATTAAAATTATTTGTACTCAAATGATATTAAAATGATTTAAACCTATATGTTCAAAATGATTTGAATGAATCTTAAGTTGTAGGCAAAGTTAATTATCTATTTGTGTATTTTGTTTAGAATCATTTTCCAATCACAATTCTTCCTATAAGTTTTGTTCTGCACCTTACGAACTCAGTTCTATGTGTTGGAAATTGGAACAATAAGAGATCAGTTTCAATGAGAAAATTAATATAAATTTATAATCATTTGCCCTTTTGTTTGTGCAGGGTATTCTAAGATTGCACTTGGCAATGGAACAAAACCAAAGAATATGTCAGCAGGCACCTTGAAAACAAATATGGGGATGCTCTTTTTAAAGAAAAAAAAAAAGAACAATGGACATAGATATTAATAAAGGATTTTTTAACGTTTATGCAAAATTAGTGAGTTTTAATTAAAGTATCACAATTTTATTAAAGTAATATTTTTCATGGATTTAGTAGTTGTTTTAATAATGAGCTTTTTACTTTTTCTTAAAACTAAAATATTCTCATTTACTTCCACTATAGAGACATTTTTTCCTTTCCCTTTCGTCTTTGTTTGCCTTCTCTCTCATATTTGTGAAAATTAAGCAATATGCTTTTTCATATGTAAGTTTGATATAAACGTTCAGTCAATAAGTCTTCTAGAAATGAAGCCTGACTTCTAATTAATATCATGTTATGTGAAAATTGTATAGTAGGTTTCAATTCTCTTCGCTAGTTGCTTCCTTACTTGATTTGATAAAAGAATATTCTCTTTGTTCTCATTACCGCTACCCTCACAAGTCCTTACAATGTAAAATTTGAGATGTTACGATCTCTCTTACTTAAATTGTTAATGTTCGAAGAAGTATATTAAATCACATTTTAAAAAATTAAAGAGACAAATAAACTTAAATGCCCTAATTAAGAATTAACTCTACTAAAATTAAACAGAATATAAGTTATGATAAAAGTGCATCCAAGTTTCTGTATTTCCCTACTTAAGGTGATCATATTAGTTCGTTACCTTCACCTGTCCTTATATGTTTTGTCGTTCCTTTCTTTTTATCTTTTTTTTTTTTTTTCTTTTGCACGTGGGTCCGCTGTAGCAATTTGATGAGTATTTTTTTTATAAGTACAATAATTAATAGGTTAATATTATTAAATATTAATAATTAAGAATTCAATTCTTAAATTTGTTAAATATTTTACTAAATTCAATAAGATGCACGATCAACAAACCACTTAATGGAGTTGCCGATGAGTATTTCTTCTTGAATACGAATTTGGAGAGGAAATAGCCAAATAGGTATAGCTGCAGGTTGACATTGACGTTGACGTTGACCTGAATGTGGTTGCCTTATCTTCCCTGTAGCGATTACCGTCTGATTGTTGACTGGTCCTTCTTCTTTGGTGGAGTCTGCTGAGGATATGTCTGCAGGTTGACAATCTTGCCTCATCAACTTTGTTTGAACTACAGTCCGATTGGTACACAGCAGATTTTGCGCACCAATACTCACGGTAAGAAAATTCATATTTAGTGATTAAATTATTAATCATTAAATTTTTATTTTTTATCACAAATTATTATTATGATAAAATTTAAATAATTAATAAAACTCTTATCATTAATGTTTTTAGTGACAAATTAAGTACTTGTCACATAAAATAATTTTATAGTGATAAAAAAAAATTGACATTATTAACAAATTATTTATAATAATTTTATTTGTTACAAAAAATATTTGTCACAAATACAATTGTGATAAAAAATTTAGTCATTAATTATTAAAATTGATATTAAATAAAAAAAGATATTTATATAATTACAATTCAAATATTTTTTAAAAAATTTTGTTACAAAAAAATGATATATAAATTTATCACAAAAGTTTAATAAAAAAATATTATTATTTCAATACTAATCAATTTTAATTAAAATTAATCAAATTCAATTAAAATTAATCAACCCCGATTAAAATTAATCAAGCCCAATTAAAATTAATCAGGCCCAAATTAATCTCAAGATATATTGAGTTTCACATGTTTTATAGTGTAAAAATTTATTTTCTTAAATATTTTTTATTGATATGGAATATATTTATAGTGCAAGACCTTATTCTTTTATGTGTTTTTTATCAATATGGAATGTATTGATTAAAGAAAATTAACAGTTTTTAGTGACGAAATATATTTTTTAATAATAAATTATTTGGTCATCATTGAATGTGTAAGGTATATGTAACCAATATTAAAATTTTGTCATAATTGTAATGCATTGTAGTGATTATTTTTATTGACAAAAACTTATTTTTTCTCTATTAACATTTTTCGGTGATAAAATATATTTTTTATGATGAATTTTTTTATTCATTATTAAATATGTATGCATCTATGACTAATTTTTTAGATCTGTCACAATTGTGATTAGTTATAATAATGATTTCAAAATTTATCACAAATTTCTATCACTAAAAACCATTTTTCTTGTAGTGACTTAACTCCTGATTTTGTAAATATCGGCTGATAGTTGTTGCTATACATTAAGGATATGTAGAATTAATATCACTCCTACTGAAAGTGCAAATGGCACCAACAAGAACTTGCTGAGGTAATATTTATTAATTCAAAATTTTTGATTTGTCATCAAGACATTATATTCAACATATTTGTCCAAGAGGATAAGAACCAAAAACCTTAAACCCTAATTAATTTTCTACTTATTTTTCACACATCGGATGAACATCCAAAAAGATGAGGAGATCAAACTCAAAGATCTATTCATTTTTACAAATAAATGCGAGCAGTATGTAAATTATATTCACCATACACAAGCATAAACTTTTGATTGGATAACTCAGAAGAAAACTATTAATTATTATGAGAGAAAAAGGAAGAGGTCAAAATGGTTAATAACAAATTAAAAACTTACAGCTTCCATTGATGGATTGTCCGTTTTCCTCAAATTCACTGCCATCAGAGAAATTAGTGTTTTGTGAGCTCTCCATTGAGTTTCCTCTGCGGACTATTTGTACATGATTAAAATGTTAAATGGGCATCAAGCTAATTAAGGGCTCCATATGATGGAAATAAGTGAAGAAGACGTGGTTGTCCTTATTTTGCCCCACATACAAATTTATAGACGGATAAGGCTACCCATAAAGTGCTATCAAAAGAAAAAAATTATTTTGTCATTCAAACTACAAAATATTGGATTTAATTGCTATACTGTTTAAAATTACACTTTTTGTCAACGAGTGTTCTTTCATCACCTTTACCAAGTTCACTTCAGTAGTATAACCTAAGCCTTTCCCTTTCCGATTTCTCCCTTTTAATATCTCTTACATTTTGAAACTGATAAAGTATTTTAAAAACTAATTTTTAAATTTTTTAAAATAAATTTTTAACTTTGTGAAAAAATAATTTACTTTTAAAACAAGTTATTTTTTAAATTTTATTATTTAATTAATGCACAAACATATAATTTTTTGGTCAAAATTTTGTTTTACCCCCCTAAAAAATTTCTCACTTTTCTACTGCATAAAATAGTGGAAATGGAGTGGAGGGAGTGGCAAACGGAAGAGATAGTAAAAACTGTTACTATGTCCGAACAAATTCTTGAAAGGAAGCACAAACAAATTCTCAAAAGATTAAAAAATGTCAATAATTTCCAAAGAATAATAATAAATTAGACAAAAATTTTAGCATTATTTAAAATATTAAAAAATAAATTTTATATTATTTAATTATTTATCATTTTTATGTTTTTTAAACTTATAATATTATATACATTAATTTATTTAATAATATAACTTATAATACATCACCGGTCTCAATTTCTCATCATCTCTCACATACAGGCAATATCCATCATAATTCTAGGAATTTTATATGCACCAGAAATAAAAAAAAAATGATATATTTACATTGCAATATATTAAATTCTTGGGCTTTTAGGAATTCTAAGTTCAAAAATGTGGACTGCGGAATGCCCGGTAGGGCGACCCTGTTGCTGGACTGCTTGTACCACTGCCACCAGGGAAGGCCGGGGATGAAGGAATCACTATTGCTTGACTGCTTTCCACATTGGGCCAAAACTGCCCAAAACCTCCGATCAAGTTGGTGCTGCTTCCAACTATGCTCTGCCTGTGTCCGGAAGTTTTCACTGAGGCCTGCTTGTTTTAACATTAAATTAGTAAAGAAAACAAAAATGATATAATTATTATGTAACATTATAAATTTACCACCATAATATGTGATTTTTTTTTATTCAAGGACTCACCTATTATATTATGTGATTTACTCCCTCAATAATATATCATAATTGTAAATTTCCATTTTTATATGAGGCATGTTTGGTATGATGATTAAAATCTAGTAAATAATGAGTAGCATAAATGTTGTTTAACATTAAATGACAAATAAGACATGTTTAAAAGAAGTTAAATGTATTTTTTATATTTTTTTATTATTAAAATTATTAATTTTATAATAATAATAAATAAT